TGGGGGATTCTGTGCTCAAGCTCTCTAGATCCTTTCCACATGTCAGTTTGGCCTGAAAGGGGAAACTCCAGCGGAGCCTGTGGTGGAAACAGTGAGCAGGATCCGAGCTGTGGAAGTGCTGATCCTCAAAGCCTGGGACAGGCTCCCAGGGCAGGATCCCTGTCTGCTTCTTTTCACACATTTTTCCCTAGTGCTGGTAGCTGCTGCTTGGCAGGCAGAGGGGGAGTCTTGTCTGGCCCAGTCAGGGATCGGGATGAGCTGAGGAGCAGCCGGGGACGTGACCGAGATGGCACCTCCATGAGTCCATGTGATGTGGCAGCATGTTCTACACACATCTTGGTTTTGCAGTTAAACAAAATAAATACAACTAAAATACACAAAAATCCTCACCAACTAACACTGCAAAAGGAGACTCCCCGTGAAAAATTGCGTGTTCTCTGTAATTAAGGTGTTTTCTCTTTTTACAATGAAGTTCTCTCCCTGCATGAGCAGTTGGGTAGCAGCAGGTGTGAGGGGGAAGGAGTCCAAACCAGGATCCTGGGGACAAATTAGCAGGTGCATGTGCAATATTGCTCATCCCATTTGCAATTTTTGAGCCCATGTAGGTGTTTTATTTTCTAACCGTGTTAGGAAGACTGTCAGAAAATAATTAGGCTCTGTCAACAGCTCCCCTAGTCCCAGATTACTGCTTCCTGACTCATTAGAGCTGCTGAGGTTGGCAGGAAACTTGTTTTATGGTAATTTCTGTTAGTGGTGTCCCGGGAGAAGAGACAACAGGGAGCGCGTGACAGCGGCCGTTACCTTCGGCCTCGTGATGGAGGCACCGGGTGGCTCCAGCTGCCTGGATTGCCACATGGCACAACTGCTGCTGGGAGACACCAGAGGCTCCACATCCTTGTGCTGGAGCTGGGAATGGGGTGACTGGGATCCCAGGCTTTGGGACCAGGAGCTGGTGTGTGTGATTTGCTGCTTTCCTGGGTACTTTACTGGTTCTTAAGGGTTTTTAAAAGAGAAAAAGGGCCCATTTAAAAGCGATTAAAGAAATGGGTCTTCCCATTCCATCCCAGGCACAAAGCCATGGTAGCATCTCTGCACCAAACTGCGTCCAAATCCAGGGGGCATCTGTGGTCCCACTGCGTCACAGCCCCCTCGGAGGACACAGGGGGTGTCTGTTGTGCTCGGCTACACAAACCAGGTTGGTGATTCCTCTGCACATCTTGTCCGAGTTAAACATTTTGTCCCCTTTGTCAGTCGTCCTCACTAAAAATTAACTCCCTACAGAATGGTGTCATTGCCAAGAAAACCTTCGTGTCACCAGCTGGCGGGGAGCTCAGCACTGCTGAGACCCTGAAGCCCTGAATTCCCAAAATCCTGCCTGTCCCAGGCAAGCAGGGCAGGGTGCTGGGGGCTGCCTGTGCCCACAGGGGAGTGACAGTCCCCAGCACCATCCTTCCCAGCACCAGGAGCTGCAGGTTTTCTCCTTCCCCAGAGGCAGCAGCCCCAGTTCAGCCCCAGCCGTGGCCTCCCTGGTGGAGGGGAACTGTCACAACTCTTCTCGGGTGCTGCTGCTCTGCAGTGTCTGAGCATCCCACAGAGCTGGACTCCAGCCTGGGCTCTGCAGAGCCTGGCCAGGGCGTGTCCCACCAGCTCTGGGGCCACTGCAGCCACACAGGGAATTTGGCCCCGAGATAACAATCCTGCTCCTGCAAGAAGCTGCGCCGGCGCTGTGGACCCCGTGGCCAGGACCTGATCCAGGGGTGCACCTATGGGCTGGTTTTCCCCCCAGAGCTCTGGGTATGGCTTGGAAATCAACACAAGATGGTATTTATGCTAATTATGCTTTGAATCAGTGAAGAAGGGAAATAAGAAGCTGCTCATGAGCATGCAGAGGTAGAGGGAATGGCACAAGCACATGGCACCGTGTGACAGCAGTGGTGGCTTTGGCTGGTGCCACAGCAGCTGCTGGGGACAGAGCTGGGAAGATAGAGAAGGACCAACCACAGCCATCAGGATGTCTGAAGGCACTTGCTTCTCCAGCTGGTGCTTCTTTTGAGGAAGTATGAAAAAATCCTCTTTAATGTAAAAATAGTCATTGGAGGGGAAAAGAAATACAGCACTAACTGGAGAGTTACTGATGGAGAACAATTACAATTCAAGCACTGGCCAGTTTCATTAGAGATGAAGACAGGAGGGTGCAGACAGACCAAGACAGGCCATTGCTGCATCACCTCCTCGGGTGACTTTCCTCCTGCCCTGAACTGCCCCAGTGCCCCTTCCCCAGCAAAGGGCTGGGGCTGAGCTGTGGGACTGACAAGAGGTGCCAGAGCACTTGGACTCCCCTAATTTTTTATCATCCCTCTCTGGGACTCCCTGCAAATTTTCCTTCGTGCTTGGAGAATCCAGCCTGTACTTGGTATTGACCCCACAGTACTTGGAAGCAGATTTAAAAGTACTTCAGAAGTCTTCTCTTTATTTCTGTGTATTTTGGATCCAATTCCTCTTGATCAAAGATAAATAAAGTTTACAGCTAAACAGCTCTTGCCAAGAAAATAATTCCCAACCCTCTTCCATAATTTCTTACAAGCACACCAAGGATGTCTTGTCCTGTGGCCACAGGATCTCCTTCCCAGACCACAGAACAGCTTCAGCACCCAGGAACCTCACAAGGGATGGGATGCTGAGGGGACTTGTGAATTATCCAACACTGGTTACCAAGTGCCCCCTGCCCCAAAACCTCCATTTCCATCCCAGGTAATGGCCTGTTTTCCCTAGATTACTTCAGCTGAAAATCTAGGACCAAAGCAGAGAAGGTTTCCAGTGACTTCTCCTGGCCCTTTGATCAAGTCAGTGGCTGCCAGTTCATTGCCTTGCTGCTCTCTTGCTCCCTCCTGGAATGATCTGACCAGGTTCTACTGCCCTGAGGCTGCTGCAACTACCATGAGAGCCACAATTAGGCAAATTGTTAAGAGGCAGATTCTGCTGATGCCTGTGGGAGCGGGATGGTACCTTCTTTCATAAGTATACATGTAAATAAGAGGTGAGTTTCATGGTCTCTTTCATCTTTTCATTGAAAACAACCCTCCAACATACTCTTCTTGTGGTGAAGAGCCAATGCTCCCATATGCTGCCAGAGCATAGCTGGTGGCATGGGATGATTGAAAGTCCCTTTAGAATTGGGGGAAAGTGGGAAAGGCTGGATAGAACCAGCAGCTGCTGAGGCAAGAGCAGACCTCAAGCTGGAGAAGCAGGATAGCCCTTAGCAATGTAAATACAGCAACTGCTGGCAGAGGGATCTGCATTTCAAACAGGCAGCTGTGGGACAGGAGAAGGGCTGCATAACCCTAAGTAACTGCAGACTTAATAACAATCCACATTTAATCACCAAATAGTTCAGGAAACCCCATTCACCCCAACAGCACAGTTCCACCAGCATCCCTGAGGCAGCCAGAATATGGCTGGTAACTGTGGAAGCTGCCTCTGTGCTTGCAGTCACAGCTCTTCACTCAGCTCCTTCTCCAAAGCACCTGAAGGAAGCAAAGTGCAGGCCCAGCTTCCCCTTCCCTGGGAGCTTTCTGGTGGGGGGGAAGGCAAGACAGCACCTGCATTGTATGCTAAGTTCAGCCTAAGGACAGAGATTTGGAATTGTCTGCCTTAATCCTCACATAAACAAGCTTTGTTAATGCCTCCTGTGTTGACTGAGCAGTTTCACACCTGTGGGACCCATCACTCAGCCAGCCTGAAGAGGAGTGAGAAGAGGCAGGACCCCAGCAGACCACTTCCCTCCTTTGATCATCAGAACGGATGATCAGAGCTTTGCTGTAACACTGGCATTGGGGAGCAGTGTCCCAGCAGTGTTGTACAGCACCCCTGAAGGGTATCAGGGACCCAGACACAAGTTCCCTTTATTTAGCAGATCCCAAAGCCACAGACCAATGTGCTGGAAGAGCTGGAAAACATCATGTCTCAGAGCGTGAAGCACACCTTACACACCTGCACACGGCTGGAGGTGGCTACCTGGTACACAGCAACAGGAGAGAGAAATACCCTCCTCTGCTCCAAGACAAATCCACCATCATCTCTAAACGGATTTCTTCTCCCTTTTCATTTTGAGAGAAGAGACAGGATTTGTTTGTTTCCCCCCCATCTGGTGCACATTTGTAGTAAGTGAGAACAAGGTCTGTTTCCAATACATGGTCTGGACCAAGACCTCAGGGAGAGAGAAAACCCTGCATGTTGGGAAGCCACGTGTCAGCTCCCGCTCCTGGCACGGCCGCACGCAGCACAAAAGCACTCAAACAAACCAGGATTCAAGGTATAAATTGCTTCACAGAATATACATCTTAAAGGGACAAGTACAAGTAGTACAAATTGAACAGAATTGCTTTTAAAATCCATGTATTTGTTTAACCGTTAAAAACAGACACGTACAGCAAGAGGTAGCCAAGCTAACAGCTTCCTGCTGCCCCAGTTAGTGTTGCCTGCATGCACTGGGAAAGTTACCGCGGAACCGAATCTCCCGACATCTTTTCTGGAAAGGACTGCAGACAACTTGCAGTTTATTTCTGCCAGCGCTGTGAGGAGGACAGGGGGACACCCACAGGCCCACCAGCAGCTGTGTCATCTTGTCTGGCTTAACAAAAAGGCATTGAAAGGAAAAGGCTTGTCTGGGGTTGACTTCAGAGAGCAAGAGAGCAAGAGAGCGCGAGGGAGCGGCGCACGAGCACGCACACACGAGGGAGACCACACTGAAATGTCAGAGAATACTGGGAAGTTGACTTGCCCCACCACCACGAGAGGGAAGGGCGACAGGCTGGTGGGTCCCAGAGTTAGGAGAGAGTTTGGTATTAGCTTGGTCCCATGGATATCAACATCACTTGACAGACTCAGAAGCTGAAAGCGAGGCAGGAAGGGTTAAGGGAAGCAGAACTCCAGGTGCTGCATGCATGCACTGTCCCTCACACCCTCCATTTTAGGCTCTCTGAGGTCCCAGCAAGGTCAGTTCAGGAGGTTCTCCCATCCAGCATGTAATAGCGATACATTAATCCTAGGACCAGCGCTCCGACGATGGGGATTAGCCACGTTGACCAGAAACTGCAGGGAGAAAAACAAAACATACAACATAAAGCATCAAGTTAATAATTCGTTTAAGATGTTCATCGCTTCTGACAGGTCTGTTTCCATCTGGGGATCTCTTGGAACCACTGCCCTCAGCTCCAGCCGCCCCGCGCTCCGGTCTCTGCCCCTGCCCGAGGCCCCTCTGCCTGCAGGGGCCCAGCTGAACTGCTGACGTCCCCAGCCTGGCACACACAGAAACCAATTTGGGGTTTTTGTTGCTGGTTGGGTTTTTGTGTTTTGTTTTGTTTTTTTCCTGAAATAAGTCAGACTGTAATTTGTGCTATACAAACAGCTGAGTTGACTCAAGGCTGCAAATTGCTACAGCCACCCCACAATAAATCTGCCTCACTCCCAGACCAGAGGCCACAGGATCACCTTTAGCAGCCCCCTTAGCAGAAAAGTTCTGCCTCAGCTCCCAGTGCCCAGGGCCCTGTTCTGCTGGGAGGATTCCTGCATTTTATACTAAACAGGGCTGGTCATGGTAAACATCCTCCAAAAAAATGCACAACCCACCCTGGCTGCTACCTCGGTGTGCTGCAGCTTGGCCACTTATTTTGGGCTCTGCTGCCTGAAGGACAGCACAGTAACATCCTTGGGGTTTTTTCCCCCTGCCCATTAGAGTTAAAATGCAGTTTTACAGAGAGTCTTGAGCCCTCAATTTCTTATTCTTATTTTAAGAGGATACTATACCTTGATTGGCCTGAGGATGTCACACTTGGATCCTGAAGGAGGAAAGAGGGAGTTAGCAGAGGGAATAAAAAGAACACTACCACATTTAACAAGTGCTAATAAGACTAACAAGACTGAACATGTGATTACAGATACAGAGGAAAAATAACCCTCCCCCAACAGCCTCTGTCACTAGTGTGGACGTTTCTGGGGATGTTTGCCCTCATCCTCACCTCCACATTCTTTCCATCTATCCAATCCCTCCCCTGTCATCAGCGTCCTACTGGAACTTGCCCCCCTCTGGAGGACAGGCCATGCTCAGCACCTCACCACGTGGTCTGTGTTAGACACAGGATGCTAAAGATGGACACTCCTGTGGGGACCTGCCTCTCAGGCCTGCACATGTACAGCTGGGTTTTGTGTGGTTCTCCCCATTTATTGTTACACTACTGACTTTATCTCTTGCTGCTATTTTAGATTATACTTGGGCCTGCCCTTTAATCAGATGTTGTACAGTGGAGAAATACCTCAGCTGTACAGAACTCACTGGCCTTTCTCCTCAGAAGAGAAAAATATTTGAAGAAAAAAATTACTGCTATCCAAGGGAGCTGCTCAGATTACTGCTTATTTCCATGCAGATTGCAGGCACGTGGTTCTTTTCATAAAAAGGGGTTGAACCAAACAATACATTTTAGGGTGAATACCCAAATAATCAGTTGGTCCTGTGTTAGCAGCAGTGTTAGGACTTGGGAGTCTTGCCAAATTTACTATCAAACACCTACTAAAGGATGCTTTCTATATGGTGCTATGGCAGAAGGGAATCTGGTTTGGAAAGCCAAGTGTTGCTTTAACTAGAAAAGAATGCAAAACATGTATTTGCTGATTGTTCTGAGAATCATCCCAGTTGAAAAGTGTGGACATCTGACTCTCTTTACACTGGAAAGAGAGTAAATTTTGGTTGCACATTAGGAAGAAGTTCTTCACTGTGAGGGTGGTGAGACCCTGTCCCAGGTTGCCCAGAAAAGCTGTGGCTGCCCCATCCCTGGCAGTGTTGAAGGGCAGGTTGGATGGGGCTTGGAGCAACCTGGGCTGGGGGAAGGTGTCCCTGTCCATGGCAGGGGGGTTGGAACCAGATGATCTTTAAAAGTCCCTTCCAACCCAAATAATTCTGTTTCTACATGGGCTTCACCCAGCCTGAGTTACTGTTTCTGTGGCTGACACAGCACACAGACACTCCCAAGGGCCCCAGTTACCACACGCTCTGTTGACAGTTCCCCTCGATTCCTGCCTCTCTGCATGTGTCCCAGCTTTGAACAGCCCCTAATGAAAGCTCCGTTGAAGGCAGAGCTGTGCCTGGCCCAAGCCTCCAAGCCAGGTGAGAAGAGCAGCCAGCTGCCCAGCACGTGTTCACCCCTCAGATGGATTCTGTTTATTACCACTTCCCTCCCCCAGCCATTTCCAAAGCATTTTTGCAACACTATGCCCTGTTCTAATCCAGGAGTACCTGAGTTTTAAGCAACACCACTGATTACTAGGGTAGTTAACAGAGAATTCTTGTTCCAGGGCCAGCCCCACAGTGGCTGTGCCTGTCTCCAGGCTTGGATGCAACAACACAAACAGCTCAGTGCTCAGGACACGGTGAGAACACAAAAAAGTGGTCTGTGGCTCAAGGGGTAGAAATAACATCACTGATGTCAGGGGAGAGAGGTACAAACACTTCTAATTTCACACTGAGGTGACTGCTGAGCTTCAGAACAAAAACAAAGGTATAATTTGCTTGGAATATTTAGTCATTACTGCAGCTTGTGTAAACATACAGCCAAAAGCACCAGTGGGAAAAGAAAAAGAGTATGACAACTTTGTTGATTTGTGAGTGTAATATCATTTCCACAGCATTAAAATGGAAAAGTAAGACACTAACAGCTTACCTTAGAACCCTCCTTTTTACGATCATGCTGTCAAGGAAATAAAAAAAAGGAGAAATAAAGATAAGCACTGAGTTCAAGAGCAGCCTGCAGTCTTTACGAGGGAATTGTTCTGTACATAGTCCCCATTGTAGGGGTGATTGCCTGGACTGGGTTTTCAAAGGAGTTGTTCCTCCAGCACCCACAGGCAGGGAGCAGGTGTTTGTGTGTGATCTCTCACCCTCCTGAACTCTAAATTACAAGGCACAGGGAAGTTATAGCACCAGCTAAGGAGGGAGCTGAATAGATTAGAATCGTTAAGTGCCCCAGTTTAATTGTAGAGAGAAATCTGTTCTGAATGGTGGAAAGAGAAGCCTCCTTTAGTTCTGCCCCTCACCAGAGATCCCCTTTCCTCAACAGAAATCCTGGACAACACAGAGATTGCCTAAAACCCCTCACTACTAATTTTGCAAGACACACCTGGTGTTTGCATTTAGTGGGTTACACAAAGGAGCCCCCCTTTGCAGGGTCCCAGCCCGTGCCTGGAGGCAGCCGCCGTGCTTACCGGGTGGATCTCCCCGATGTAGTACTGCTTCAGCATCTCCCTGGCATCTGTGGAGTGCCCAACGTCTTCAAAGCTCTCTGTGGCATCTCTACCAGCTTGTTCGAGCAGGACTTCTTCTCCACCCGGATGCTGGAAGAGGAGGCTTCATGTAAGCAAAGGGCTAGATGCCAAAAAGGCAGGGAGAGCACCAGCAGCCTGCCTTCCAGCCTCTTCACACCAGCTACATCAATAACATCTCCCAGAGATTCAATTCCCCAACCCCTCCTTCAGGAATTCAGAGAACAACGTGTGCTGTGTAAGAAAAACCCTTCCAAAGAGGTGAATCCCCAAGGTAGAGAGGGAAGCAGAGCTTTGTCCCCCACAGCCAAGCCACCCCTCCTGTGATCCCATAAGAGATTTGGGTACAGAATTTCCACAAAAGAAAGGGCATCCTTGTCCAGCTTTTCAGGGGCTTCACTGCATCCACCAGGCTCCCTTGCTTGCAGAGCAGCCTCTCCTGCACAACTTCCTCTTTAAGAACTTTCCTAAGGCAACCAACTGCTAGTGAAGCACAACACAGCACTGCCTTCACCCTGTGGCTGCCCCATCCCTGGCAGTGTTGAAGGGCAGGTTGGATGGGGCTTGGAGCAACCTGGGCTGGTAGGAGTTGTCCCTGCCCATGCAGGGGGGTGGGACTGGATGATCTTTAAGGTTCCTTCCAACCCAAACTGTTCTGGGATTCTATGACACCAGTGGAGGAATTTTGTTGTTCTCCTTCAGGCACTACAAATGAAACCATGACTTGGCTGGCAGCCCCTCTGCAGGGAACTGTGCAGTGAGGAGCGGAGAAGAACAGAAGTTACCACAAAAGCACCAAATCCACAGGACACTCCACAAGGACACTGGCATTTCTGTTGATGAGAGACTGTCACAGACCACTGCCAAATCAAGGGGAATGAACTGACACAAAGACCTGGTGCAGTTCTGCTCCCCTTGATGGGCTGGGCTCTCCTCTAGTACTGTCAGTACCATAATTCCAGGAACAGCCTGACAGCGGGAAGCACTACCCACAAAGCCAGCAAAGTACAATCTCTTTACTGTGTGAATGTGAGCAAATAGTTCAAACTATCAGCTAATCCAGTTAAACCATTAAGTGGGCAGGCTCCTGAGTGCACACAGGGACTAACCCAGCTTTCCGGAGCAACAAGCAACAGGCACTGAAGGTGCTAGCTGGGACAAGGAGACTTGTTCTCTGCTGCCTGAAATGGTTCCAGCAGCTACAGGAGCTGGAGAAAAGGCATTGGACTCAATTTCAGATCCAAGGAGTAACACACCTGCTTCTCTCCATAATACCCTTTCCTTCCCACAGGCACAGGGCAGTTGTCACTGCTCCTCTTACTTCAGCTCAGCTGGTTTTGCTGCCAAAAGTCTCAATATTCCCACTCAGCTCTCACACCTCACTCCAAACACGCTCACTATGGACACAGTAAGAGCACTGCTGTTCACTCCTGTGAGCTGGGGCAGCCAGCTCTGCAATCCTCAGATCACAGCCCTTCATTCAGAATAAATCCCTTTATTGTCCAGGTATTGTAACAAAATCAACAGGCAGTTTTCTCAGCAGCCACAAAGGGCAAAGTCTGTGGTCTCAGGAGACGGCTGGGGGCAGCCAGGCTCTGCACTGCCAGGGCTGTGAAGCAGAGAGGGGCCCCTGCTGCCACTGCTCCCACCCCAACCCTTGGGCTCCCTCAATCTCAGACAGCTCAGGGGCTGCCCCAGCAGAACAGCCACCCTACAGAAAAGGAGAAGGAAGCAATGGTCACAGCTGGGGAGGCGGGACTGAGCTCCTGACAGGGCCGGACACGTTTCTCTGCCCAGGGCAAGAACAGGAACACAGGCTGCAGCCAGAGATCACCCCGAGATCCCTCCTGCCCCTTCAGCTCACATCCCCAGGCCTGGCTGCAGTGGCAGGGTGCTGTGTGTTGTCCATGCACATCACTCAGAGCAACTGCCCAATTCTCAGAACACTTGCACAGATCCACAAGAACCAGGGGCTGAAATCCAGCCACTCACTGCAAGCCTTGTAGAAGATCTCCTCAGGGATGTCCCACCAGAAATCTCATTTCAGATGGAAAAATAATCAGAGCTTGCTTTTCCAATCACCCAGCCTACAAGGGCAGACAAAAACCTGCACTAACAGGAGAGAGTGGATGTTGGCCTCCAGTGGCATCCAGTCCCTGCACGTGGAAGAAGAACAAGCAAAGTTTCACTCCTCTACATCTCTGGGTCTGAAGCCTTTCTATGTACTTGCTAAACCCACAAGCAAGAAAAACAGTTATTTATTTATGCACATCTGTCCTCCACTGTAATCACCAAGCCAAGAGAAAAAAACAAACTTCAAACCATTTTGCCCTATAGTGTTACTGAAAGGACAGCCCAGGCCAGACAACCACGACTGCAGCCAGACAATTCTCCCCTTGTCATACCCAAGCAAATGTAAAACCAGACTGTTTACACAGGAAGTCACAAAACTGCCACAGAACTTCCCAAAGCTACAGCTCCTGCAGGAAAACATGAAAACTGGAAGTGTTGCAAACTGGGGGAAAAAAAAAAACATTACTTTGAGAGGGAATAATGGCTGAAAAAAAGTGCATATCTGAAAAGAAAGAAACAAAACCAAACCAGAGCAGTGGGGCTGAAGGCCAGTCCTGGGCAGGCTTCATAGAATCATCAGAGAATGGTTTGGGTGTGAAAGGACCTTAAAGAGCATGTAGATCCAATCCCCCCTGCATGGGCAGGGACACCTCCCACCAGCCCAGGTTGCTCCAAGCCCCATCCAACCTGCCCTTCAACACCCCCAGGGATGGGGCAGCCACAGCTTCCCTGGGAAACCTGGGCCAGGCTCTCACCACCCTCACAATGAAAACTTTCTTCCTAATGTCCAAAAGTAATGTCCCCTCTTCCAGTTTTAATCCATTCCCCTCATCCCTCCCTGCCCTTATCCCAAATCTCTCCCCAGCTTTCCTGGAGCCCCTTCAGGCATTGGAAGGTGCTCTAAGGTCTCCCTGGAGCCTTCTCCTCTCCGGGCTGAACAACCCCAGCCTGTTGCCAGAGGAGAGCTGCTCCAGCCATAGGATCACCAAGCATGCACATACCTACATGTGCAACTGGTCCCTCCCCTCAGATGGACCTGTGGGCTCTCCTGGAAAACAAACAGCTGAGCACCAGCTGAGAGTCCTTCACACCACTGCTGCTCTGAAGCACCAAACCCCCTCACCTCCACCAGGCACCATCCCACTGTCCCACATCCTTGTCTTCCCAGGTGCCCTGAGTCTCCTTCAGGTATCAAAGCCCCAAGAACATCAGCTGCTCAGTGGGCAGCTCTGCAGATCCTGCACCTGACACAGAGACATCTGCAAACTGCTGCAGGACCAACAGTGAACACTGGTGAGCACAGCAGCCAGGACCCATTTATCTTGCAAAAGTGAGATTTTTTTTTTTCATAAAACTATCAGCAGCACAGCATTGGCTACAGCAAAGCCCAGCCCAGTGAAACACTCCTTAATTTGTTGTATGAAATACCTCAGAGGCTCTCTTAAAATAAATGTTGAGGTGAAAACTCGAAGTGCAGGTCAGATCCTGAATGAAGTGTTATGGTGCTGGAGCCAACAAGCAAAAATCGATTGTGTGCAACTTGATAAATAAAACCCAAAAGCCACACAAAAAGCAACGACCTCCAGCTGTCAGGACAGGGAGAGGGAGCTGCCAGGTTATCATTCCCTCCTACCTGATAAGCCTCTGCACCTCACCCTGGCAGCTTTGCCATGTTACATTTTGACTACACAGCAGACAGGCTTTAATCAGAGGTGTCTGCAGGAAAACCAGAGCCTGACTGAGACAAGCAAAGCCAGCAAGTAGCAACAAGTGCAAGTTCCAGGAGGGGCTCTTCTCTCAGAGCTGATTCAAGCTTTCAGACATTGGTGTCATTTTAAGCTGGGGTAAAAGCCCTTTGAAACTGTGTCACTGTTTCTTCCCACCCTGTTTCCAGCTCCAAACACCAAAACTCAACCTTCTCACAACCAAAGTGAAAAGCATGGAGTCTAGAAGTAACTTTTGTCCCCAAGTCCAAGAGAACTTGAGATCACAGCAGAGCCTGCAGCCCTGCAGGCCGGTGCCCTCTGGGCACCTCTGCTCACACCAACCACCCCCGCTGTCTCCTTTAACTTCCGGGGTGTCCCGACAGACATCACAGTTACACTACTGATCTAGCACGGGACTGTTTACCCTCTGAGACCAGAAGTGAAGTCCAGTGGCTCGAGGAGAGCTGCATGTCCCATGAAAGGCACGTCTGGACACGGCTCCTCACACGGACCCCAAGGAGCAGCAGCACAAGCCGGCACTGGGGCCTGTGCCAGCACGACCTGCCACCGCCCTCCCGTTCCTTGCAGGCTCCTCTGAGCCGGGCGGGCGCTGCCCTGGGCACGCAGGCTGCCCGCACACCGGGGAGCCTCCTGGGCCCCTCCTCAGGGCCTGTGCACCCCCCTCTGGGCAGGGCCGGTCGCTGAGGCCCCGCAGCCTGGGCCAGA